ATATAATAAATTATTAATAAATAATTAATAATTTGGTACCTGACTTTAATCTCTGAAGTATTATGTTATAAGCTTCTGTCGTGAAACTGAGCGCAGCGAGAGGTTTCATCTTGTCTGGAAACACAGACTTTGTCCATTGAGGTAGAGTTTTGTTGTATAAGTTCTGAAAAATTTTATTATATCCTCCGTCAAATCAAGTAATTTACAATCGTTATCGTACATAATTGAGCATACAAAATATTAATATACCTGAATATATAAAATATTGTATAATTGATTAACTTTTTCTAATGAAGATATTTTATCTCCACTGTTCTCAGTTAAATAGGCATAAAGCTTTGCATTCGCTTTATTTATGCGTTTCATTTCCGGCGATGTTAAGACTTTTTCCAGTTCATAATTATATCGCGGACAGTATTTGCTTGCTTTCAACACATAATCTTGCTTTTCTGGAATTGTATGCACAGGAATCGGCATCCATTTGATATCATCCCAGACTTGGTTCATCACTGGCGGATAAAGTCCTGCCAAATTCGCTTCCGCCGACATTAATGTACGATCTACATCCGTACTTTGAACGTAAATGTCATACGGTGTATAAATGTTGCTTAAAAAGTGAGAATATCGTTTCCTTAGCCAGCGTCCAAGAAGTAAGTGCTGATGTTTTCCAAGCTATATTTTTTAAAATATTGGATATCAAAAATAATGTGAAAAGTTTTTCAAATGTATAATAAGAAAAATAATTCCTGAAATTTATTTAATAAATTTTTGCACTATTATAAATATTACAATTATTTCTTTATTACAATTTTATCTACTACTCTTAATCTTTATTGAACTTTATTTATTGTGCATTTATTTTCTCATTTTTTTCCTACAGAATGCCAATGATTAAAAACTGCGCCAGAGCAAACCTCAGAGTATTATATTTCATAGAGAAATATTCACACATGATAAAATAAGACAATTGCAAAAAATATTTGTAAAATGTTATAAAACATGTTTTCTTTCCTGTATATAATGAACTTGATTGAATTATCTATGCTTATATTTATGAACTGCAGCTATAATTGTAATTTACCCTTACTTACATTTGTCAATTGTCCATATGGAACTGGCCAGGATGTTTCATTATAAGGATCGTTTTTGTAATGTCTAACAGGAGTCCTATCACCATGTCTGTATAACTGTAAGTATGGACAAGCATTTTGTAGATAAAATATGAATCATTTACCTATTTTCAATGTCAAAACAAAAGATAAAAACGTTTTATTGATATATTCATATGTGAACACGATAAAATGACTTTAAAACAGAGATAATGAATATTCCAAAATAATATTGCACAAATATTTGCAGAATAATAATGTTACAAAATAATATTACACAATAAAGTCAATTTTCAAGTTATAAAAACAAAAAAAATAATATTACGCAGTAGTAATAAAAAAAATCAATTTTCGAACTAAGAATGAACATTTAATGTATAAAAACAAAAAATAATATTGTGTGCAGTAATAAAATATTTTTCGAACTGATAACTCGCTCACTTACAACATTTGCGAAAACGATCGTGCCCAAATCGAGATCATCGGCGCTGGAACAGCTGGCGGCAAAAATACTCGCGAATATAAAGGATATTCTAATATTCATCATGTCGAGAGAATTTCTCTCGATATGGTTTCGCGAGCAGCCTCACGTGGAGATCGCACGTAATCAAAAGGGGGTTTCTCGTTCGGAAGCAGTGAGACCTAGGATCTACTAGAATCGCTAGAATCCGTGAACGATTATAAACTGCGTATACATTTCTGTAATGTGCTAATTGATGCGAACGAACTAACGGCTAACGGCCGTGGTCAGTGACTGATCACCACTGACGGCATTGACCACTGACCACTGACCACTGACCACTGACGGCTGACGCGCTGACGACCGTGGCCGTGCTTATACCTGTGCTTATATGGCATACACATATATGCATGCGCAGCTTCAATATTCGCATGCATTACAAAAACAGGATGTGTTGGTATGTGTTACGCGCTTTGCTACGAAATGCGTAATGGACCCTACACACCAGGATGCCACAACTGCGGCCTATGTGCAGGAACCATAAGCACTATCTTATATTGCTCTTGTATTGTTGAATGAATTTATCATGTATCTTCTATAGAATCACTGTGTGAATCACCAACAAAGGATTATATTTAAAAATACATATGTAGAACACATTTGAAATGATTCTAAACATTTCCAGCATTTCAACATTTAATATATAAGTCAAATTTATACTTTTTTATTTCCTAATTTTTAAAAATTATTTTAGGATCAATTATTATATGTATGTAAGGATGATATATATGAGATAAAAGCAGAAATATACAATTGTATTTAAAAAAATATAATTTAAGAAAAAATTAATTTTGGGAGAGAAAAGAGAAATATCTAAATCATGTTTTATACATGTCGTTTTTATATCTTTAAACCTAAGAAAATTTCTGGTGATTTATTTTATATATACATATATGTACATGACTTGTCATTTACAGAGATCCTTTAGCTACACTTTCTATACTTATTTTCTTTCTACTTTCCTTTCCAAGGAAAAATGTGGCTAAGAGACTCAAACGTTCTCACTATATCAACAATAATAACACGAGGAGTTTATCTGATATGATAGATTAATTTCTCTGAGGAGAAAATAATTAGATTAAAATTTGAACAATAATAATTAAAAACTTGTATATTTGTTCACATTTTGCACATATGTACATAATATCCACCACAATCGTTTGATACGTATAAATGTTCCTTTGATCGTACAAGTATTATTTATTAATAATGATGTTGTGGCCATAACGCCGATATATACTTTAAAAACCCCATATTCTTAAACATCTTGCAGTAAAATGCATATATTAATATATATTACTATTATATAACTATATATGCTCTTACACATATACAAAAGGATTTGCTTTCCTTGCATATATTACAATTTATGAATATACAACTATTTATAATACATACAATCCACCTTAGAAACCATTGAACTATAGCTTTATATTTTTTTTTATTTTAAGGTGTAGCGGAAGTTGCCTACTCCTTTCTAAAGTATAAACGTTAAAAAGTAGATTAACAAAAAAATTAAGAATAAAAGTTACCTCTATTTTGCCTGCATATTTTTTAAACAACAATAATTATAAAGAATTATAAGAAATTATCATAGGTATATTATGAATCAATACAAATTCAAATAAACAAGGTACATACAAAACAAGAACAAATTTTTATATGTATTTTACATTATTATTTGTTACTTTATAAAAATGTGTGATATCAGCAAATTGAGCCATTGGATTTTATTTTAATAGAACGTCACTTTCTTATTAACATAATTGCAAATGAAAATGGCTTTTGAGTAAAACTTTTGCTGAGAATTGATCGATTTATTATTCACTGGAAAATCTATATATGTAAGAGAAAATCTGCAACTTCCGAAACAGACCGTACATATGCAAAAATATACAGAGATTGATCTAGTAAGTTTTATCACAATTCACGTTTACTAATGTAATCGTAGATTGCATTAGGACATCACTCTTTACCTTTATAAGAAATATAAAATTAAAAAGTATGTATGTTTATAACTCAACATTAGTAATCCGAAAAATGGAAATAGGTTTTCAGCCGTGTAGGAGCAATGGCCGTAGCATCACAGTCTTCGTTGGCGATAGCGCTGCGTAAAATTGATTAGCAGATGAGCGACAAATGGCCATAAAATTAGTAAGGCGAACAAACGCGGCGAACATTCTTGCAACGGCCACCATCTCGCATACGTGCGTCTAATGGTGTTTTCCTGAAAAGAAAAAGAAATATCGACATCAACATTTCTTAATAAAAATCAAATGAAATAAAATAGGATAAATAAGAACAAAAAAATAATAATAGAAGAAAAATATAATAAAACGACAAATTAAATATAATTTCTTATTCTATTATTTCACTGAGATGATATAATAATTACTTGATTTTTATTGCAATTATTAATATTCTTTTCAGATAATTAAATGATGTTGTATACCGTCTGTGGCGCCATCGCTTGCAGAGCTTGTCCTTCCAAGCTTCGGACTCTAGCCGTTATTCGGTCCAGATCTCTCTGTAAATGCTGCATGGTTATTGCAATCTGATTTAGAAATTCGGCGTTGACTTTATTATCGTCTTTTTTCGTTCTCTGTCTACTTCTCTCTCGCTGGCTCTCCTGTATCTTCTCCGCGTGACCATTAACGTTGCTGTATCCATTTGCCAATTCAGTGTTCTCTTTTATAACACTCTCTGTATTTGAATGATCAACTCCGTTATTTGCCGTGGTTTGTACCTTTTGAGAAGGAGCAGTGAGCTTAGATGCATCTTTTTGCATTTTCTCTGGTGCTGACTGCAATAAAATCGAATTGTCCGTAAGATAAAATGGTGGCGTAATATGATGTGTGTAATATAGTGTTAATGTCGTACCTCAACAGTATCTATAAATTCTTCTTCTTCACCATCAGTATCTTGTGGCAGTGGGCTTGCAGTACGACTGCTGGTCGGACTGGTTTCCAAACTACTCGTTATATGTCGAGAAGTACTGCAAACTCTATGAGGTGATGTTTCTCTCGACACTGATAAAACAACAAAAGTAACTTTAGAGACAAAGAATCGTAGAAAAAATTTCTCTGGATGGCATTACATTGAGTCAAAAAATTTGAAACAAATATTATCATATTGATATAATGTAGCAAGTATGTTCTTGTGTGTGTTCAAACAATCTATATCACTTATCATTTAAATATCTGATGTTTTCAATACTTATCTTCGACATCTCCAATTTTTATCTTTGGTAAACATAATGTTTATATAAATGGTAATATTAGCTTCTTATATTCTTTTAGTACTTAATTGAAACTACCTCTAATTATAATCCTCTAATTGTTTTGAATATATACATACAACACACAAGATTGCTGCTAAATATATTAACATTCAGACAAGATAATAATAAACATTTATATATGGTTGCAGAAAAGAGGAAACAAACCTAATGGCGAACCAGACAATGGTGATCCTGGTTGAGAGCGTATACGCTCCAATACTGGTCCCACGAGTAATTCCAAATCTTCGGCCGGTACACTTTCGTAAAATGAATCCAAACTACCGAGAAACGTTGCCACATTATCCGTATAAGACATAGTTTCGACAATCTGTAATTCGACAATCTTGTTTCATATACTCTTCGTCTTGCATTAATTTTATTAGATCAGATTCAAAATGCATATTTACTTTCGTCAGTTCCTCCACATAATTGTTCATGGCTTCCATACGACTCATATTGCCAAGGCGCGACCACGCATCCCATTTTGCCTTTTTGACTACCTCCCAGAATGCGGGTTTACCTTGTTGGCAGGGCCCCTCGGTCGCTTGTTTGTAGTATGAATAAAAACGCAGCATAATCTCGTTGCTAGGTTGATACGCTCCTAAAGTATTATATTATTTATCAGCATATTTTCTATATAAGAGGTACAGTAAGATAAAAAAGTAAAATATTTGTGCTAGATTATATCTTTTGTAATTATTAATTATTGTCAAATTAGATATTCATGTATTTTAAAAATTGCAAGATGTTTTGAAACATTCAAAATAAGAACACATAATTTTAATTAAGATTTATGTTCTTCAGCTTTATACAATGATGTATGATATTTTTTATCTTCTATCTTTGACTTCTAGTCAGAGTCTAAAGTATTCTCTTAAAAGAGATGAACCAGAATGCAAATTGTTATATGTTAATCTTCCTCGTATAAATGTTGGACAGTATTAACATAAAGTGTTACACATTGATGATTATAAGTGCAAATAATCCTTTTCTAATTCTAATACAGCATTCATAATTTCATAAAGTAATATTAATGCAAGATAGCTATTAAAGTAATTTCTATGAAAACTGATCATTATCCATCTTAGCAGGTATCATTAAGGCAGAAATATCCATTAATATTCAAATATCTTATGTCTCTATAGAATCATTTTTACATAGAATGCATATAATTGTACTGTATCGCATTTATATGCTTTTTTGTGTATTTCTACAGATATGAATCCATAATATAAGAGTATTAAGAGATTGCGGATTGAATAAAAAGTTTTTGTTTGATGAATGCTTGCTAATGTAGTAGTCAAAGATAATTAAAGCATTTGTCAACAGAGTTGCATAATTGCTGGTGGAATAAAGTCAATTACTGTGATCAGTGAAGAGGAACATTCTAGTTTTAACCACCAAGCATGGTTCAGCTAGTCTTGCACAGTTAGAAAGTAAAGTGGGAAGTAATACAATCACTTAGCTATATGAAGTGGCTGGAAAGTATACATGCAATATTCAACATCAAGGCCAAACAGCAAAGAAATGCATATGCACTTAAGTAATAGTAAGAATGTGTATGGATTTAAATAATATTAAAGTGATGTCTCTTATTGAAACAATATTGATGGTAATTTTGACACTTTATTATTTTGATTTTAACAATTATATTTGCACAAAAATTCCTAATTATATATGATTGTAACTTCTAATAAAAGAGAGAGAATTATTTTCATAAAAGATATAGTTAGATTTTTTTTCTTTATGAAAAGAAAAATAAATAGCACAAAAATGTTATTTACAAAAATATCTGTGATTTTAATACTTTTACATTTCAGACATATTACATATTCGCAAATTAAAGAGATCGATGGATTTCTTTATAATGACAGCATCTGGCAAAAAAAGTAGTGAAGTAAAATTGCTTCCGCGTAATTATTAAATGTGAATTGTAATCATGCATCGTGACGCAAAGAGAGTTTCTAATGTGAAGTAAACCGGGTTCTCGCAATTGTTCGAGCAAAGGTGGAGGATCGCGATCGAAGAGTTTCTTCCGCAACGTGCACGATAAGTACGTTGGCACATCGCGAAGACTGCGGGAGATTTTCATATTGCTTTCGACGCCGCAAGTGAGAAATTGCATTCACTTTCTTCAACTGGCGCGATTCGTGATCTCGCGAATTTCTCTGCACGATAGCGTGCAACGGCAAAATCCCTTCTTTCTCTCAACTAGAGAAACGCCTCTGTAACCGAAAAAAAAGATCCGGCAAAAATGTTTAAAAACACGTGTATACGATATTAGTACAAGAGTATGCGTAACACATGTATATGTAACAAAAAAAAAAAGGCATTATTTTATCATTTACATATTTTTAGGACAAGGATCAAAATTTATATAATTTATTTCGAAGAGGTCAATTTTTTGTCGCTAAGAAAATGTACGGAAAGAAAACCTTGTATCATTTACCCTTTGCATTATCATGTGAATAAATATAAAAGCCGTGTCGACTCTGATACTACTTAAACATCGGCTGGACTTTAACCAGCGCGTAATTAAGTATGCGTGCGACCAAAGGGAGAGAAACGAGAGGGAAAGGAATCAACACAAGCGAGAGAGAGAGAGAGAGAGAGAGAGAGAGAGAGAGCGAAATGCAAAGTGATATTGCTGCAATATTTGTCATTTGATTTTACAAATGCAAAAGTGAATGCAAGAAATAGATAAAAATTTAGGAAATATTTATTTTATAAAGATCATCTATATACATATATATAGTTATATATATATATACACACTTAATATATTATA